TCTATCTATCTAACACTCATCTCTCCCAACCCACCTAACCCCTTTCCTCTCTACATCTCTTCCCCCTTCCCCCTTCCTCCTCCTCTTTCTCGCCATATCTATTCCCATTCATTCCATCTCCTCCTTCCTCTCTCCAGGCGATCACGCTGCGGGAGAGAAACTCCTTCGGGACATCAAAGAAGGCTTGGAGAAGATCGACGCCCAGCTGATGCGCCTTTTGGACATCGTTGCTCCGCCCACAACCACGCCCGCACCCACCACACCCGTTCCCTTGAATTCATCCACTACAACCTCTGGTTCTCCGGCTGTGACCACTGACTCGACGGCTACAACAGATTCTTCAAATACAACTACTAATGCTTCAGTTACAACCACAGATTCGACGGCTACAACCACGAATTCTTCAGCTACAACCACTGACCCTCCGGTTACAACAATTTCTTCAAATACAACTACTAATGCTTCAGATACAACTACAGATTCGACGGCTACAACCACGAATTCTTCAGCTACAACCACTAACTCTTCTATCATAACAGACCCTTCGGCTACAACTGCCGAATCCACAAATTCTTCAACTATAACCACATATCCCTCGGCTATAACCACTGACTCTTCAATCATAACCACAGACCCTGCGGATTTAACTACAAATTCTTCAGCAACAACCACAAATTCCTCAGCTATAACCACTGAGTCTTCTGCTATAACCACAGATCCTTCATCAATAACCACAAACACTTCGGTTATAACCACAGACTCTAAGGCTACAACGACAAATTCGTCAGCTATAACCACAGACTCTTCTGTTATAATAGATCCTTCATCCATAACCACAGACCCTTCGACTATAACTGCTGACCCTTCCGTCACAACTACAAATTCTTCAGCTACAACCATAGATCCTTCGACTATAACCAATGACTCTTCTGTTATAATCACAGACCCATCGTCTATAACCACAGACCCTACGGCTACAACCACAAATTCTTCAGTTACAGACATAGGCCCTTTTGCAACAACCGCACATTCTCCAGCTCCTTCGGTTCCAACCACAAATTCTTCGGCTACAACAAGCTCTCCATCTACAACCTTTGATACTCCAACACCCTCATCAACATATTCAAACACAACCAGAGACTTATCTTCAAACACAACAGTCCCTTCTGAAACAACTATAGGTTCTGCAAACACAACAGTTGATTCTTCTGCAAGCATAGGTTCTGCAAATTCAACCTCAGCTCCTTTATCAACTACAGATTCTTCTGCAAACTCAACAGCTGATTCTTCTGCAAACTCAACAGTTGATTCTTTTGAAAGCACAAGTTCTGCAAATACAACCTCAGATCCTTTATCAACTGCAGATTCTTATACAAACACAACAGTTGATCCTTCTGCAACCACAGATTCTGCAAATACAACCTCAGGTCCTCCATCAGTTGGAAGTTCTGCAAACACAACCTCACTTCCGTCAGCCACAACCTTCAATAATTTCTCAACGACAATGCAGGATTCTTCGACGTCAACTCCTTCGCTCACGTCTGCAGAGTCAGAATCAGCTGATACCGAGGATCAGGATGGCAAGATTAGAGACAAGAGGTCAATCGAGGTCAATCATGGGGTCAGCGAGGTCAGGTCAAGTGAGGAGGATGTAGTGAATGGGACGAGGACGACTCCACCTGCGATCTGCAACAAAGAGAACGACCTTTGCACGTGGCTTCTGGAGGTCATGGAGGGCGTCGAGAATGTCACCCGGGAGGTCAAGGAAGGCCATGAGACGAAGGATACGCTGAAGGAGATCAATGCACTCGGTAAAGAACTGCGGCAGGTGGTGGACCAGGTGGAGAGCGACCCGAGATTCGTAGAGAGTCTTAAGGGGGACGTCTTGGTCTCAGACGTCAGACAACTTCACCAGGTCAGTTGAAGAGCGTGATGACTCTGTCTCAGTTACGTTGTCTTTCGTAAAAAAAAAGGAAAAACAAGTTGGATTTTACCGTAAGAATGATTCACATAAAGGAGCAAATTAAAATCTCTGGTTGTATAACAGATTTATTTTTAGGTATCTTATCAGTGGATTAAGATTACCGAGGACTATCGAACGTGGGGCAACGTCTAAATCTCAAAGGATGAAGTGTCTAGAGAGAGAAAGAGAGAGAGAGGTGGAGGGGGTGAGAGGTAGGAGACAGAGTGTGAAAATGGGTAACTAAGACATAGATAGATAGATAAACAGATTAACTGACAGATAGAGTTTACTGATAGATAGATAGATTGACAGACAGATAGATAGAATGGCAGATTGATAGATAGATAGTTGGACTGACAGATGGAGAGATCGAAAACTAAATTGAAAGATAAAAGACGGAGATTGAAATAGAGAGGATGACGTGAATCCAATTTCGTTAACTGATCAATCAATATTTAAATGAAATATTTTTAAGCACTCCGTTATGTGATCTTTAAATGAAAATGAAGACAATGATGTTTCAAGGCGTGTAAAGATTTTGTCCTTATAATACGTATTTTCTTGCTTGTACTCAGCTTGCATCACCGTCTTTATCAGATATTATTATCAGTACGTTTAAGAGCCTGTGTGAAAGCTATCATGAGTGTGTTATCGACATTTTTTTACAACTGGCTCGAACAAAAGACAAAATTAATTCCTACAAGTATGTTTTTTACTACTACATTGCACCATTTATCCCAAGCTTCGTCGACGCAAAGTTCTTATCTTTGGCATTTCCTCAACAGGGCCTGGGTGATGCCGAGGGAACTTTGGCCGAGAAGCTGATAAAGTTAAATAAGACCAATCCTTTGCTCTTGATTCTCCTGGGGGCTATAGGGGCTGGCATCCTTCTGGCACTCCTCGTGGTGAGTGCCTTCGCGATCCACAAGCAGAAGAATCTGAGGCTGGAGGGAGGTCACGGGAAGGTGAGGAAACGGTGGGGTGTGTTGTGAGGTTGAGTCGAGTGGGGACTGTGTATGAGTGTTTGTTTGTTTGTTTGGGTGTGTGAGCTTTGTTTAGTTTATTTTTGTTTGTTTGTTTGTTTCTTTGTTTGGGTGTCGGAGTTTTGTTTTTGTTTTTTTCGTTTGCTTGGATGTGCTTGTATGACTGTGTTTTTTTGTGTATATGTTTGTTTGGATGGTTGATTGTCTGTGCGTGTGGGCGTGTGTGTGTTTATTTACTAGTTTGTGTGTACGTGTCACAGCAAAGTCGCCCTTACGGAGTCGTCCCACTGCCTTCCAGATCAACGGCACGAGCATCCCTGTCCAGAGCTTCAAGGAGGTGAACGGCTACGACAACCCTTCTTTCCAGCACTCCCCGACCCCCTCCTCCAACCCGAGGTCCTCCTCCAGCCTCCAGCAGTGTCCTCCGCCCACCCTCATCCCTCGTCCTCGAAGCAGCATCGAGTCCTACACCCAGCGAGAGACCCCGCGCTCCTCCTTCGACAGCGCAAGCCTCCCGACCGACAACCGTCCTTCCAGTGATCCTCGAGGAACCTACGACTCGGGGTACAAGAAGACGCCGAGCCCTTACTACAGCGTCCCTCGGCCTCTCGGCGAGACTCGACGCGCGCCCAACGACTCTCGCGAACACCGTCTCTCCGGCAGAAGCGACGACGAAGAGGACTTCCGCGATCCTTACTCCTTGGAAGGGCGCGGACACAACGTCAAGAGGATCCACTCGGGTCGCCTCATGAGGATCGACCCGTGAAGGAAAAACAAGAGCAAGAAAGAAAGAAAGAAAAATGGACGTCGGAGATCAAGAGAATTTATTCCTGCTTGAAAAAAATGGAGGGCGAAGAACTGAATAAAAATCAAGAGAATGTATTCCTGCTTGAAAAAAAAAAAAAATAAAAAAAATAAATAAATGGAGGGTGAAGATCTTTACAAATCAAAACTGGGTTTATTTTGGAATAATGAATATTTTTTCCTGTTTTCTTTCTGAAGGAGAAGATAACATGATATATTTATAAGGATAGATAATATACTTTTCACATGTACACATAATGGGGTTAGATAGAGAGTTATCAGCCATTCTGAAGGAAACATATTTACTATGTCGCATTTATATAATAAAAGGATAAAACAGAAAAAAATCAGTTTCGTTAACAAATGTATATGAACACAGCATATCATTTTATCGTCATTTTATTTTATTATCTTCATATAAATCTTTAAACCTGTTTGTTTGTCTTTATAACTTTCCGCTTGTATGTCTTGATTCTGCTTATCATTCTGTACATTTTATGATTCCGA